TGATTTACACTTTCAACTACTATGTAAATAAAAACCGCGGCGAATTTGAATTGCTCATATTCTTTTCGCGAATGTAATATTTTAAATTTACTTTTATGGGATAATTTAATGCAATTATTTTAATAAGATTAATAATAAATCGATCGTTACAATTACCGGTTTACACTAATAACTTTTCTTTACATTCCTGTATTAAATACAAAATATAAATTACATATCTATATACATATATAATTATAATATATGTGTATATAGATATAATATGTATAGATATAATATATAGATATAATATGTATATATAGATATAATATATTATATGTATATATATATATCACATAAAATTTATACAGATATAATTTGTATTTTCGTGTCATGAATAGGTCAGAATATCTATAGGGTAAAAGCAGGGATTATGGAATAGTCCTTTTCTTAAATTAACATTGCTCTGATATAATGCATACGAAGACTTTAAATTTACACAGAACTCTTGAGGAATATGTTAGCTACAACATCCAATAAATGAAAGTCATCCAAATTTAAGTTCAACGTCAATATTAACAAAAAAGTCAAAAGTGAGAAAATGGAGGGTCTAAAAAATGGGATGTAATGTGAAATACCGCTGAAATTTTGACCATAGTAATAAATAACACAATAAATGAAGCCCAAATTTGTTTATTTATATAAACTGATCAAGGAACATAGAAAACTGTTCAATTTTTATTGTACAATAACACAGAAAATCTAATAGCATCATTACGAACGTTATTACGCATGGACAATAAAGAATAAAATTAAATCTTGAATCATTAAATTACGACGTACAATAAATATTAGCATATAAAATAAACATTATTCACAAGAATCTATTCCATATTTTCAACCCTCGATGTATTCCACATTACTTGCATGTCGTCATATGACAAATAAAGTCTTTCCGTAGCAATAAACAAGTTTGAAATATCAATTAATCTGCATAATATTGTTCATGCAACATTATTAAAAGCGTCTGTGCAATATAAGCATTAAAAAAACTTGCCTTCAGTTTGTGAGAACACTTTTTAGAAAAAGCTGCTAGATCTTCTGACGTAACGAAAATGTTAATTGTAGCAAAACGGTTGATCGGACCGAGTTCATTGCTTGTTATGACATGTTTGGTAACAGTTGCAATAACTTTCAGCGATTGCCGCCAGATTGCAATGCTTTGTTTAAAAAATAAGCCACTATTCCATATTAGTAGCCTATGCCATAATCCCTGATTTTACTCTACAATAAAAAAGATTATGTATTTGTGTTGAAAACGATCCATTCATGTTCTTGTTAATAATTTGTATTTAATTTTATAACATATGTTCGAGTGTTAATTTAACATAATGTGATTATGTTATTTAAAGATTTTGTATGAAATTGGTATTCAACGTTTCTTAATGTCAAAGTGATATAATTTATGAGTAAGTTGAACAAGTAGCATAAAAATATGTTTTAAAATGTAAATTCTAGGACGAATGAATGAAATACATGTTAATATATCATAAATGCTAATTCTTTGAAAAAAATGCTTCCATGGTTTGTTTACAAACTGTGTTGATATTACTTTTTTTGTATTGATTTTCTTACATAATATTTGTATAATCTTCTAAAATATTCATCTTGTGTCAAATTGACCCAAAAATTTGAGTGGATCGTTTGGGACGTGAGATTTATGTTAAATTCGGCATATTTTTTCCAACAGTGTAAAATGGACCATTAAAACAATTTTTTATAATTTAGTACTATATGATTTTTGTATTAACTTTTGCCAGAAATAATGTTCTGTTTTCTCTTGTATTGAATAAATTTTATTGGATAATCGTAAATAATATTTAACAATTATAAGATAAAATTTACTTGACATTAGAGAAAATAATGGAATAGTATTTTTAGCAAAGATTAATACAAAAATTATATAATTATAAAAAATTGCTTTGACGATTTATTTCAGGTATTTTAAGCTTTTTCACAATGTTTGTAAAATTATAAAAATATTAAACAGTGGAATTATTTAAATTTTTAGAATAACAAAATTTTATTTAATATTTAAACACAGTAATATATTTCATTCATAAATTTTAATTATTCTTTTTACACTATCGTATATTGAACACCCTTTCAAAAAATTTTTTTATTTTAATTTATATAATATTTGAAAAATTACGCAGATTTGTAATTTCTTTAGTTAACGTAACAATTTGTATAATTAGTCTTTCATTTAAATAGAATCGCATTTAACTGTGATACATTTTTTCTCACGAAAATTATTTTTTTTTTTCTATATCATAATTGTATCTATTCTATATTCGTCTATATATTCTACTCTAAACTATTATTTGATACATTTTAATAATAAAATTAAAATGTGTATAGTTACATATTTTATTCTGCAACTTGTCATTTCAAGTAAAAGGTTTCTTAAGGATTTGTTTTCTATACAAAAATCTTGTTACATAATTACAAGATACAAATCGTAAACTTTGGTGTGTTAAAGCACCACATAGAATATAGAAAATACGAATGACTGCTACGGTTAAACATTGACATGTATATTATACATGTATATGACACGCAATAATGTACGTGTTTATGTATGTAAGAAACATGTTAGTTTAATATAAAGTATGTAATGTAAGAGTAAAAGTGGCTACACATATATTTATAATATTTTGAAATAGCCTTAAATATCAGCAGATTAAAAATTATCACTACATACCATACATATAAAGCCTACATTTTTTTCTCAATTATAAATTAATGAATTACAACTAACAATATTGAAATACTTTTTTTTTATTTTATCATTTTCTTTTGCATTTAAAAAGGTATACAAAAGACAGTCTACACTACGCGTTACATTTGTGATATATGGTCTGTTTTCTGTTCCTGCACTAGACTGCTCTAAAATTCTCTTTTTCGCTTTAAACAAATATCAAACGTATATCTTTCTGACTTTAAATTCCAAAAGTGTACACTAGTTCAGCCACAGAAAACAGACCTATAGATTTATGTATAAGTATTCGTACTATTTTATTGTTTTTCTTTCTTAAAAACAATGTTTACTAAACTATTCTTTTTTTGATGCGCTATATTTATAAAATATTCAAAAACAAGAAAATAACATATTTTTTAAGATTTATTGAGTAAATCTTTCTCATATATATATATATATATGTTCAGTGAATTTTTTTTTATTTTATCGAACAATTTACTATAAGAGCAAAACAGTACAAAAAAATAACGTGAAATATTTTAAATAATAAATTTAAGTTTGTGTGTGAATTATGCATACATCGTGAAATATTTGCTATTTAAGATCTGCTGTGCTTTGTCTTGTTGCTGAAATGTAAAAGGATGGTATAATTATCATACAATTGTCATAAAATATTTTATTACGAGAACACATCTATCACTTGTTGAGGATAAGTAATGTTCCTGAACGCGAAAAATCAATGAAATATTAAGTGCCTTGTAAATCAAAAATTTCTTTAATATAGTCATGCTTTTATTATAGACTTGTAGATAATCGTCTACAGAAATAAAATCTTTTTTGAAGCATATTCCGCATTTATTTTCTAGATTTTTCTTTAATATAAATTCTTTAAATATACGTTTGCACTGTGTAGATAGCTTGAAATGCATGTCTGTTATCGTTATAATAGATGGTTTTTGAGTAAATCTCAAATTAGGAAATATACTAAATTTGTGTATTTTAATATAAGGACATGTTTGTTTATAAAGATTATACTTTATAATTGTGAATTTAATATAACAAAATGATGTACGAAATACAACAGCGGTTCTGATCTGACGATATGTAATTATTTTTTAGGTTTTGGTATATTGATATGATATCTATTTTATTCAAATAGAAATATCGTTTTTCTAGGATACAAAAAATATAAATTTTACCATACAAAAAACTAAAATAATGTAGTAGAAAATGTAATATGAAGAGGATTTATAAAGATTATGAAAAAAATATGTTACATACTTTGTGAAGAATTAAATTAATTAACTATATTTGTGATGATATATTTACTGTAATTGCGTCAGGATCAATAAAATAAGTTTATTTATTTTCTCAATGTATTGACAAGTATAATAAAAATCAAATTACAGTATTACAATTCGTGTATCTTCACTTCTACATTTGTAATAAAAAATTGTTAATAAAGCATTCGTGTTTGTATATCAAGTGTGTCATTTTTCCTTCAAACCGTTCATGATAGGATAGGGATGCTAAATAACTTCCCACAGCTTACTAGAGTAGTTTGTCAAACAAAAGAGATTTGAATGATATTTCCTAGCAAAGACATAGAACATGTGCCATTTATGTGATTAATATATCAAATATGATCAGTAAAAATGAGACAGGAAGTGTAAGGACAGCCGATCTCCTTTTCTTTTTATAATATATTATGAATGGTTGAATAGAAAGAGATATAGATCGTCTTCGCGTTCTATCTCTCATTTTTATCGACCAATTTTACATACTTTGATTCCTAGAGCTATAAACGATACTGCATATATATGACACGAAATTTGATTAGAAAAATATTCCACTATAATAGAAACAAAGTATCCCAAATATGAATTTAATCCTAAGATAATCTGTGAATAAATTGTGATATTGTCTCATCCTTCAGATTAAAAGCTAAACACAATAAACTTAAAAATAAAGCTCCATCTTCCAGAGTATAAATTGTATACTAAAACATTTTGGTATCATAAAAATTGCAATTATGAAATCAGACAAAAACTAAAGTTCATATTAAAATGATTTATTTTCAGAAGATCAAGACTCAATAGGGGCTAGCTATAATGCCATCGAAGAAATCATTTACAATACATAAAAAAATTAAAATATTATTTGAATTATCAAAGAGAGATAATTTGAGATAATCAGAGAGATATATTGCCAACATCTTGATTACATCTTAAAAAAGGTCAATTATTTATTTAAAAATATAATTATTTAAGATACAGATAAGATAGAGATAAGTTCTAGTAAAATATGTATTATATTCGATCCAAAGCTTCTAACATTATGACGCTGTTGCCACGAATTACCTACAAATATACAATTTATCTTGATAAATACTGATACTAAATAATAATACAAAAATATCCTATTTTATACATATAATCAGCTTTCATAAAAATAAATATAAAATCACAACAAAACTTACCACCATTCCTATATTGTTTTTAGTACCGTCCTTGCATTCTTCTATACTTTCATCTATGACCATGTTCATAAATGGATCAAAACCTCTCAATATTCCAACAACACGCCGGCCACCATTCAACTTTACTGCAAGATATTTTGAGTAAAATAAAAAAAGAATAAAATATTTATATTACTTTCTCTACATATGCTAAGGTACTTCTTGCATATCTTATAATAAAACTATAAAATGATTTTAATTGTATATGCTTGCAATTAACCTTCTTATAAATATTTTATATTACAAAACAAATTTCATGTTTATTTTATAAAATACAAAAAATATTCAGAAAATACTTCTTTACGTAAGAAGTTATTTTTCACCAAAGAAATCTTTCGCTGATTCTACAATGAGTCGGTAGTCGGAAGTCTTAAAGGGCATTCTACAATGCGTTGCCAACAACCGTTGCCAGTTGAAATGTTTGTCACGACACTGATCAGAAGCATAAATAACACCATTAACGCTTCTAATTGATTGTCGGGACAAACGTTTCAACTGGCAATGGGTGTTTGCAACGCATTGTAGAATGCCCTTAAGTCTTAATCGGTGAAGTCAGCCAATCAGTCTAGTCGTGCAAGTTGACTATTGGTTAACTTCACTGATAAGACTTAGGACTACCGATTACCGATCAGCGTTAGATTTAATATTATACAAGAGTGCCTACAACAAACTTAACCTTTCAGCAAGGCTTATTTTTCAAATATCTCAATCTTTCTCCTGGAGATGTAACTTTCACTTTACAGTACATATTCGCATTGTTACTTACGGGATAATCTTTTATCCATGTATCTGAAAAAAGCACAGAAACATTAACATGGAAATATAATGTAATAAAACATGTGAAGAATAACAATACCGATAGCGAGATCGCATCAGTTTATGAAAAAAATATACTTCACTTCTTAAGCTCTGGTGGATGTGCTTTACTCATTTTCGATTATAGTAACAGAACCTTCCAATATCTGAGTACACTGATAAATATTCACAAAAATTATGGAAAATTGTACAATAACCGACAATAACCTTGTTGATTACGTTTACCGGTGATGCTAAACTATATGCCAAACTATTCCAGCCGGTAGATGTCACTGAGCGCGTTCAAGGGTGCGTTCCGAGTTACGCATGAAACGCATGATGTATCGTTTTATCCTTCTTTATTAATTGGTAAACAACAAAGACAAATGATGCACATGCGCTTCATGCGTAACTCGAAACGCACCTCAAGTCGACAAAGCGGCTAGCTTGCTTTCCGAGCAAATGAATATGATTGGTTATTACTTGTAGATCCAACCCATTACATTCAATCGCTCGGCGAGCAGGCTAACAACTTTGTCCGGGTTGTACGCGCCCACTATGGTCGTGGTTCGATTTATGCTGGCAACGCTCATGAGCATCATTTGTCTTCGTTAACGTTCTTTAACATTTGACAAATAACAAGAATAAAATAATTTTTAAGCGTTGTAAACGTGAATCGGACCGCGGCCTATCTATGCTAGCAGAGGAGTCGGTTTTTCACGCATGCGCATTTCATTATGACATCTGTATTAATATTGAATTTATGAAGTTCTTGTAGAGGCCACATATTTTAATTCCTATGTTATATAAAATTTTTTGAAACATTAACAATTATAAAGAAATTATAGAAATTTTCAAAAAATTGAAGACGAACGAAAGAAATATCAGTAAAAACAAAGAGAAATCACTACAAAAGATATGTTCCGCTTAAAGTTCGCAACGCTCGCGTGTATCACCTCATTCTTGTTTAATATTCAGTGACAATTGACAAGAAGGACGAAATGATACTCGCGAACGTTGCAAATGTTAAATGAAATGCATCCAAAAAACTTGATATGTAAAATAATATAATATCTATATTGTTTCGTTACGTTATCATTCTTTAATTAGTAACTATTTTAGTATTTGTGGAAGATAATACGCAACTTATAGTTTATTATAAGAATACATAAATGTAATTGGCGTTAGATATTAGTACAAGTGAAAGAAAAGATTGGAAATATTATATTGTATATATATAATGACGTTATAATTCCAAATACGACTGCATAATAAATTACAATCTTTTCTAAACGTAATACGTATTATTTCTAAATATTTTTCAAAATAATAATTTTTTTCTTAAATATTACAACATTTTGTATTGATGCAAAAATACGAGTTGATGGAAACTGTTAAAACTATATCATTTCAATAGAAAATATTCTCCAGTCAAAGGATAAGGGCGAATACCATAATTCTAGCAAAGGAAAAAAATGAGAAGGATGAAAATGTTGTTCAGTCAGTGGTTATAAAGGTATCGAAAAACACAGAAGGCGATCTCTGTCCATACGATTTATGGGATCGTAACTTTATTTCCTTTTCTACAACACATTGGTACAACATGAAATGAGCGTGTCGCTCTTCGAGATAATTGTCGATGAAGCGTCTCTGCGTTTTCTTACGTGTCACAATTGCGCGATCCCGAACATCACAACGCACGATATGTGCGTGTTCTCGTCTCGTCGGATACATCTCCGTTATTGTATCATCGCGCCGAGATGCGAGACGCTATCGGTACAAAATACAAGTACGCATGTGTTTATAAAAGTACAACATCAACGTCACTTCGATCGCAAGAAACGATACTTCCCCATACATCTCAGAAATAGTGGCCACGCAGATAATGAACCCTCGACAGTTCTCGTTAATGAATGAAAAATAAAGGAACATTCAAGAGAAGAGGCTGACATCAAGATTGAGCTTAGAAAAATTTCGAGGAAGATCTTTTCTGGATTGACGATGAATGGATTTTTCGTGCGACGTAAATAGAATTATGCTATACGAAAAACGAGACATATGTCATTTAAGGTTTTTAATAGAGACTGTATTTCGATATTAAAAGCATTTCATTATCTTTGGAAAGTAATAAATATACAATTTCTCCTCGACGTGTTGTAAAAAAAAAATTGGTAACATTTAAACATTCCAAAAGACGTGTAAAACCGGGAAGATCTTTGTGACGTTTCTTATAATTGTTTCTTTGGTCTACATAATGTATTATACTCGTATCACGGTGTGACATTTAGAATTATAATATTTTATCGATATATCATATGCGTGTCCAACAACGTATACATCAGAGTTCAACAACGTACATGAAAGCGATAGAAACGAAGGCTTCGTAATCCCCATCTTACATTTAAATCGCTAAATAGCGTTGTCCGCTCTTCCCGTCTTTTTAATAACGTTTTTCATTAGCAAAACTAGTGCGCACTCAGTGGACTTTAAAGCCGTTGTACAAAAATCGACGTAAAGATATACGTTTAATAAAAATATATAAACGAATTAAATATCGTGAAATATTCGATACATTTTATTGTGCTATTTGATAAAATAAATTTTGGTCATTTTATCAATTGAGATATCTCACTTTTATATTTAAATTAGAATAGTGTACAACAGCTTTAATGTGCACTGAGTGCGCACTAGTTTTGCCAATGAAGAACGCTATAAATCTTATTAACAATAAGCTGATAAACGGACACCGAAGCGAACGTTCGCTACATCGATTTAGTTCGATTTAGTTCTTCAAAGGCGCGATTTTTTCAATTCACAATTAATTAAAAATTATTTTGGAAATATGTGAACATCATGAAGAAGCACTATTATAATTCAACTAACGACATAAAGGAAGAACTTGTCTACTGATTTTCTATTGTAGCGAAGCGCAAAGAAGCTCCGCGAATCTACAATACAAAGATACTAGCACATCGATTCGAATTAATCGGCTAATTTCATGTGGAATGCCATGATATAAATGTCTCAATACACGCACTTCGAAAAATGACATATCGAGAGCTATTATATGTAACGTCTATAAAATTGTCGATGAAGGTACAACTGGACCCAGCATCCGAGACATTCTTCGCCATCGCAGCAATCTCTGGACTGTTCTCATAAACGTTACGTGTTCTCGCATTTACCTTTTTTTTTTAACAATTGAAACATTAAGTACAAGATGCATACTTTTTTAACGAGGTTTCCAAAAACTTCGTTTACGCAACTCACTGTCTGTAGTGAGGAGTCTTTACATTTATATTAAACACGTGCAAAATTCTAAGATGGAACGGATTGGCACAGCGAGTCGTGAGAGAACGACTCGCGAATATATTTTGTCCGTAGATATTTTTTCATACAGACACAACAACTTTACTTAATTATTAATAAGTTTCTCGCTCGTCTGTATCCTGTATTCTCTAGGTGTGGATATCGGCTTGTTTTCTGTAAATATAAAGAACATATTCCGATATATTCTCACGAAGAGGTACATTTAAAATAATTCCCTTTTCTCAAGAAGTGTCAAGTCTGCTTCAAGATATATCTGTTCGCGTTGTTTGAAATCCTCCAAAATTTTAAAATGAAATAAATATATATTCGAGCGTTGAAAAGAGAGAGAGAGAGAAAGCAAAGGTGCTGAGTACAAAAAGTGCAAGCAACGCGAACGAGTCTAATAACTCGTGTAAAATATGACACTTTTTGAGAGACTATTGCTATTGATTTATAAGTAGTTCATCCTTTAACAGAGTCCACGATCCCTTAATCCTTCGATTCTGTGAATCGATTTCCTCCGACAGGATTATCATCCTTTTATTACAATAAATAGTGTACATCTTAATTTGCATAGTTAAAAAAATTAAGTATAGCGCGCGCGAAGTAAATCTTAGAGATAATTAGAATGTCAGTTGCACTTGAGACGCACGTCGATTGCAGCGGCGGTAAGTACAATAATTAATGAATTTAACAGCGTAGCGCAACAAGAACAACCGATAAGGTACGTTAAATATCTAGAAATCTATACCGCGGAACATTCACGTTACATTTATGATACACGGTGTCGCTACAGTATTTGCATCTCGTATAGAATTCTAATACCATCGAGAAAGACGGCACGATATGCCGATAATAAATATTAGGTATACGAAATCTTTGGTCGTATGTGAACACACGAACGAAGGCAATCAGAGGGACTTTCGTAGTGCGTTCAAAAATAATACTTTGGCAAAAGTAAGGAAGCTCTAGACTTTTGATTGGATTTAAAATAACAACAAGGTGTAGATATAAAACTTGGACACCAATAAAGTGCGATTTGTCGAATTATACGCGGATATATGCTTTAATTAACAGTCCACGAAGTAGCGAAAGACGTTTAAAAGAGGCTTGACGTATCGTAGGACGTCTTTTAAATATCTTTATAATTTTTTTAGACATGTCACACGGAGTTCTAGGCAACCCCTGGATTATTGCATACAATGTATTAAGGACACGCAGCTTGCAGTTTCAAACATAACGTTTGATTCGCGTTTTCTTGCAAGTTCTTTTGCCGATTACGCTAGTGGAATGGTTATAGTATTCGGATTTTACGATAGTGTTCAATGGATCGGATTAATATACCGTCACGACGAAAACGTGCCAAATGCTTTACAATTCGTCATCGTTTATCCATTTTATTTCATTGACATAGCGTTTAACCCTTTTGATACCAAAGTTTAAAAAAAAATAAATTTTTAAATAAAGCATTTTGTCTCATTACAAATAATTCTCGGAACTTATTTTCAAAAGATTCTAAAGTGTAATATAAAAAAAAAAATAAAGTATATTATATTTTCTTCCTAATAAAATATACCGGTACAAAATTTTCATATAGGTAATATTGTTCTCGGTATTAGTTTTTCATTATTCACAGTAGAAACGTATTGTGCCTCTCTAAATTGATCAAGTGGTACTGAAAGGGTTAAACAATTCTAAATGACTAATCGATTTATTTTTACACACGAATGTGATTGACGTTATTGCGGGCGACAAACGCCATCCAGAAGTGCAATATCAAACCATCGTCTCCCGAAAGATCTTCACCGACGAGTCCGCATGCTTAGTATGCACGTATCTCGTTATCGTCCTGACCGCGTTGTTGTTATTGTTGTTAACGCCGTTGAGTAGTTCGCCACTCCTCAGCCCGGACTTCGCCTCCGTTTGCATTTCCCTCGCCGTTTCTGCAGCCAGGAACGACAATATCCTTCTAAGCGACAACTGTTATCATGCATTGTCGTGAAAAAAGAAACTCAAATGACGTCAAAATTTGAAGTTTTATAATACTACTTGAATCAATTTCACGGATGACTTGAACCGAAATAATTTCTACGTTTTTTTAGTTAAAAA